CATGTTATGCTTAATATGTTTGATATTCAGACAGATAGTGAGGTTAAGCTTAACAGCCTAAGTTGTATGATAATAACAATAAGCTTCTCTTTTGGAGGGTTAACAACCTAAATTTGCAGACCAAAATTAGAGAAAAAGGAGGGTCACAAGGAAAGCCAACATTTTGGCCCTAGCCTTCCAAGGTCAATTAAGACTCAGGAGCACTTTGCTCAAGCGGGGGCCGTGACTCATCCACATGGCTGACACTGACAAAGGATCTACAATCTGAGGTACAGGATCTCAGGAAAAATCCTGAGGGGATTTGACTGACCTTATCAGATCCAAAAGCTACAACTCTTGTTGCATAGGTCCTGCTTTATCTTGGTCTCAACCATCCAGCAGAAAAGTATAAAAACGAAGTACAAGAAGTAAAGCCATGGTGTTATGTTGAGCTGTAGGGTACTCAGGTCTACAATTTCTCATACTTCCAGTGAAGTGGAAAACCCAATACTATTATGGACTACTGGACTCTTTTAGAATATTTTGCTGAGATAACACACCTATAATATTCAAATAACAGAACTAAACAAAAAAGGGGATACAGATGAATGCCCGTTTTGTATCTGTGTATTCAAAATGGTTAGGATACATATATAGTGACATTCTCTTAATGAATAGAGGGATTTTTGTTCTAATAGTGTTTGTAAATAGGATATCATGTCTGCATCTTGTACAGCAATTAACCACTAGGAAGAGAGTATGCAATGTGTTAATTATTGAAACTGTCATACCAATTTGATTTGAAACTGTCTCATTGCTATTTGTCTCTCAATAAAATTATGGAAAAGAAAAAAAATATTTCATTTACCTATTAAAGGTAGTCTTTATTGCTTCCAAGTTTTTGCAATCATAAATAAAGTCACGACAAATTAAAAAAACAGGTTAGTATGACAGTTACGATAATTAATACATTGCATATTGTTGTCGTCCTGGTAGTTATTCAGAGTACAAGATGCAGATATGATATCATGTCTAAACACTATTAGTACAAATCTTCTTTCTCGATGAACTAAGAGAAAGTAGCTGTGTACTGTCCTATTTTGTATATCTATTTTTTCACTACAAAATGGTCCTTCATTTGTATCTCCCTTTTTTGTTTAGTTTTGTCAGAGTTGGGC